TTTTAATATTTTTCTTTTTTCAGAAACATTTTATAGCATGTAATGAAATTATGTAGGAAAACTTTTGTTGATAGTAATGTGAATTGTACATATTTTTATAGGATCCCTTAGTTCTTTTTAAAATATCTAACGGGAGGATAAAAATTGGTAACTTTCAAATACTTGGAGGATGTTTTCTGCAAAAATAAAATATATATATATTTTAAAATATAGTTTAAATGTGGAATATAATTTAAGGATGATTTTTATCAAAAACTCAAATTATTCATTCATTGAAGCTAAATTCAACTTTAATCTTTGTTGGTTTCACTTGCTATATGTAAGTCAAGTTCTAAAAGTTGCTACAAGTACAACCACATGATGTCTAGACAATTCCTTAATGTTGAATGATCATGTGGGACTTTATATTTTATTCTCGGCATTAATTATTTATTTTTTTAAATCTAAAATTATACCGCAACAAATATGAATATCATGATAAACATATTAATCATTATTTTTTGAGAGGATAGAAAAATCTAAACTAAACAAATAAAAGTGAGCCACTGTAGTATCTAGGGATGTCAAAAGAATATGAAAATCGTCCGAATCAACCAAACCTAACCGAATCAATTTCTATAATTTTTTTAAACAAAAATACGGATTTTTACTTAAGTGTCTAACCGTCCTAAACAATTGGGATGATCTTTTTAATTTATAAAAAATCGAAAAATATCCAAACCGAACCGAATAATCTTACATGTATGTATATACATTTTATATATTAACAATATGTTAAAATCAATATATAAATGTATTTTATAACATTTTTCAAATATAAATATAACTTAGGTCCTAGGCCTAGATCTGATGACTAGACGACTTTGAGTCTTTACTCTTTAATTATCCTTTAATTAATTATATTTAAAATTAAAAGATACTATAATAGATACTTCATCAAACAATACGGCAAAACTTATACAAGTACTCCTATTAAATGTTTAAGATTAAAAAATACGGCAACAAGGTTCTACATTCTTGACATTTTGGTGAAGAATTGAAGTGCTTCTTTAAAAATATACTTGTGAAAGAAATATTTTAATAATAGTATATTGTGAAGTGATACTTAAAAAGTGAAAAAAAAATGAAAATAAACCCAACCGTACCAATACCGAATAAAAACCGATGTGATGGGGATGATTTTAAAAATCTAATTTTGGTTAGATCCGAAAAATTGAGATGATATAATTTTCTTAAAATAATTGACCAAATCTTTCCATTGACACCCCTTCACTAGTATCTCTTTGGTTTTTAATACACGGTTGATTCTTATAAGAACCTTTAATTTGGGGTTCTCTATAATTCAAGAAACGATTGTTTCTTAGAGTTAATATCTCATATGGTCACTCAACTTTGAATAGTTCACTCAGAAAGTCACTCAACTTTGAGTTGTTCACTTAGAAAGTCACTCAACTATTGATGTTTCACTTAGAAAGTCACCAAACTATTGATATTTCACTTAAAAAGTCACCCAATCAATTTAAATAATTTTTTTTATTAAATTTTGTAAAAATACAAAATAATTAAACTATTTTTAAAAAAAGTAATAAGATGTTTATTTGAATTATTTTATTAAATTTTGTTGAAATACAGTTTTGGTTTTTACCTATTTTTTTTAAAAAAAAGTTAGTAAAAGAATGCTACTGCGTGCTTTTCTTATTACTTCTTAATTACTACTTCTTATCAATTCCATCTTCCTATTTTTTAGATAATTTTTTGACATTTAATTCCAGTCATACAATTGTGATTTTGTTAGTTAATTTGTTTGTATATAACTTTGCCATTTGTGTTGTTTTAATTCCAGTCATACAATTACTAGAATGGTAAAGGGTTTTTTTTGGGTCAATTGTTGTACGTTTTATCAGAAAACTTATAATTAAATAATTGGAATGGATCAATAAATTAATTAAAATAGATATCTTATTATTTCTTTAAAAATAGGTTAAAATAAAATTTAATGAAAAATTATTCAAATTGATTGGGTGACTTTCTAAGTGAACAACTCAAAATTGAGTGACTTTCTAAGTGAACAACTCAAAGTTAAGTGACCATCTGAGATATTTACTCTTGTTTCTTAATAAAGACTTTCAGATTTTTAGCATAAACTAAATAGAAGTAGTAGAACTTCTCTAAATTAATAATCTCTTTAAGATAGAGTAATATTTTTCTCCGATTCTGATTTGGATCAGTGAAAAAATCACCGATTTTGATTAAATAATAAGATAATATATTTTTGGAAGATCAGTATAAATATATAATTCCATTAATATTATAAATTAATAATCCTTTAAAATTAGGAATAATGTATAACTATCCCTTAAATTATGACTGAAATTTCAGCGACATACCTTAACTTAACCAGAATCCTATTATCCCCTCGAACTCATTTTTCTGTATTTTCGTGCACTTTTTGTGCTGACATGGCACCCTCAACTAGAAAAGTTGATTGTGTTTGTACAACACGCACTTGCCACATGTATAATTATTTTTTTTAAAATCTTTTTATTTTCGTTATCTTGTATTTAAATTAAGTCAATACAACTATTTTTAATTTTTTTGTCTGGTATTTAAACTCTCTTTTTGTTGATTTTTTTTTTTACCTTCATTCATTGTTTTTTTCATTTTTTTCTATTGATTTTATTTATTCTTTTTACTTTCTTTACCTTTTCTTGTGATTTAATTTGATTTCAAATGTGTCGTGTATAGTGAAGAAAATCTAATAAAACGTAAAAAAAATTAAAATGTTGAAATTAAAGGACACTTTTTAATTATTTTTTAAAAATACACATAATTTTTTAAGAATAATTAAAAGTGAAAAGATAATAAATTAATGAATAAAAAAATAAAAATTTTAAAGTGAGGAAGAAATTAAAAGGGATAAGACACAAGTACCCCTTAGACTATGACCGAAATCCCAGAGACACATCTCAACTAAACCAAGACCCTATTACCCCCCTTGAACTTATTTTTTTTGTAATTTTGTACATTTTTTGTCTTATGTGGCACACTCTGTGACTCCACGCAATTGAGGCGCGTGAGAGATATTTGAATGTCACGTAAGCCAAAAAAGGTGCACAAAATTACAAAAAAAGGGTTAGGGGGGGGGGGGGGTAATAGGACCTTAGTTTAGTTAAGGTATGTTTTTGAGATTTTGGTCATAGTCTAGGGGGTACTTGTACCTTTTCCCAAATTAAAATAATACTTTACAAAGAAAGAAATGAAAATAACTATATATATATAAATATAAAAGTTATAATGTCAATAGTGATGTGTACTAACTAATTGTAAATAGACCAATTGAAAAATGACATGTGTCCAAGTTTTTCGGTCTTCACTTGCCTTCACTTTCTTTCGGTCATAGTTTAGGGGGACTACTTATGCATTATCCCTTAAAATTACAAAAACATCCAAGTGCACCAAAATATTGTGAAGAGTTTTGGATGCGATAAGTGCTTATGTAAGTGTAAATCGTTCCAAAGGTATTGTTTCGTCTTCAACTTCATCATCAACATTGTTTTCTCCGATGGTATCCACAATTTCTTCTTCTAAGCTCTGCCTCTGAACATGTATCATTTTCACAATTTATGTATAATTTTGTAGAGATATTATTTAATTGATAAAGTTATATTTATTAATTTAAAGAGTGTTTTCGAGATTAAATGAATGTTAGTTTTGATTAAATCAATATCATTGTATCTTACTAATATATATATATTGAATTAATATAAAATAAATATATTCAGAGGTCCAGAGAGCTTAGAAGAAATTACGGATACCATCGGAGAAAACAATGTTGATGTTAAAGTTGAAGACGATATAATACCTTTGGAACTAATTAATTACACGAAAGTAAACACATATCACATCTAGAACTCTTCACAAATTTTTGGTGAAGTTCAAGAAGACAGCATCGAAACTTTTAGATGTAATAAGAAAGTTAGAAATGAACTTCAAGTAGATTTAAATTTTAACAAAAAAACAAAAAACACTATAATCATATTTCACAAACTGTCTTGGATGTTTTTGCATTGTAATTTTAAGGGATAAGACATAAATACCCCTAAACAAAATTAGTTGTCTCAATCTTCATCTCCTTCGTGAGTTATTAAATTTCATAATTGATTTGATTACATAAATTTTAGGGAAAATGCATAAGTACCCCCAGCCTATGCCCAAAATTCTTGAGACACACCTAACTTTTACTAAGGTCCTATTACCCCCTCAAACTTATTTTATATATAATTTTCTACCCCTTTTCGGCCTACGTGGCACTATCTGACAATTTTTTCAAGGATAGTGCCATGTAGGCCGAAAAGGGGTAGAAAATTAATTAAAAAATAAGTTCGGGGTAATAGAACCTTAGTAAAAGTTAGGTGTGTCTCAGGAATTTTGGGCATAGGCTGGGGATAGTTATGGCATTTTCCCTGAATTTTATGTATAACCCAGAAATAAAAGAGACAACTCGAGCTAATCCTAACCAAAAAAATTCTAGACAAAAAGTTGCAGTGGCTCATAGACTATGAAGAAGTGTTTTTGTCACTGAATGAATTAAGGGTAATTTCATTTATCCAAACTGATGAGGCCTTTCACTTAATTGGGTAATTCAGAGTGGGAGTTGATCACATTTGGATTTCATGATCAAAACTATGGCTCAGGGATGCTAACTTATCTGCCGGCTGGTTAGTATATGATACTGAAACCACGGGATTTAACTAAAGTATTCTCCATTCTCCTTTGATACATTTAGCTAGCAAAAGTGATTCAGTTTCACAAGCATACAAGGTGATAAGTTGTGAATTTTCGATAAACCAAAATGGTATAGAAGGTGTACAGTATTTCACAAGCATAATAGCTCCTAACATTACATATTGAAATATATGAATAAAAATGTTGCTCTTAATGAAACTAATATTTCAAGAGTTGGTTAAACTGCAGGAATTTTTCTACTTTATCTGCGGAAAATGGCTCAAAATAACATTGATGATGTATTGGATCACCTAAGAATGATAAAGAGTGGAGGCTATCTGAATATCGTCGATATTGAGGCACTTGAAATGGAGCTAAGATTTTTCAGAACTTTTCTCAAAAACCATCATGTTCTTTGGCCTGATTCCTTAGTCAAAATCACAAAGAAGGCCAAATTGATTGTGGAAATGCTTGCTTTTGGTGGAATACCAGAAGAATGCAGAACTAACATTTATGGGGAGAGGCTAGTATCACAGTTGTGGGAATTCATTGAAGGTTCTGCTAGTTCAATGCTGAATTATGAGTCAGATGATTCCTATCTGATAGAATATATGGATTACCTCGAAAAGAATCTAAATGATGCACCGTATCTAGTCAAGTCTGATCCTTTCTTGATAAAAGAAACCAAAATCCTTCAGAAGACAGATAGGTATTTAAGGCAGTTGATCTTCATTCAAAAGAAAATGAGGTTTCTAAGATACTTATATAGCACAGAGATAAATGGTTACGTCAACCATGAGAAGTTGAAAGGTTTGCTGACCCGAATTCAGTTTATGGCTGAAAATGTGGGACATTTCTGTCCTGCTCTTTGGGTTAATGAAGATGAAGATGATGCCGATTCAAAAAAGGATGAAAATGACACCGATTCAGATGAAGATGATACAGATTCAAAAGAGGATGGAGATGATACATTTAACATCGAGAGTAAGCTTCCTTACCTACTATTCCTGATTGTACTAGTGGAGCTGGAAATGAAGAAGATTTTTCTCTGTGAACTAAAGGCTTCAAAATTTACTCAATCAAGAACTTTCAAGGACAAGAAATTACCAAAAGGATTTTCACATCATCTCCATGGTCTGTTGATGTATCTTAGACAGAAAAAGCTTAAGAACTTTGTTTCTGCTCGAAACATTGATGTGGCAATAGAGTTCTTGTTGGTTTTTCTCGGTGATGTGCCAAATCATGTTATTAATGGAAAGAGGTTGAATGAAGTCTTGGAAAAGATTGGAGTTCTTGTGGGTGATGTACTATGTGTAATTCAAATGCATCTTGAGGGATCTATAATCAAAGAAGATGCTAGCAAGATTGATCTTAGCACAATACAGATATTCGAGAAAATTGAAGATCTTAAGGCACAAGTGGAAGAAAAGTACAAATACTTAGAATACAATCCTTCTCATGAGTTCCCCACTGTTGGTGGATTGAGCTTTCTTTATTCTCTCCTTTGTAAATTGAATGAGATGTTGAAATCTGAAACAGGTTTGGTTTTCATGATGAAGCCTCATATTGGCATTTTAGAGAAAGAGCTCTCATCTCTAATGTCTGTTTTTGGAGATGTTGCACAGGTGCAACGTGAACATAAAATTCTTAAAGAACTTCGGAAGCATATTATCAATTTGGCATATGAAGCTGAAGTTTCTATTGACTCTACTCTTGCTCAATATAATGTTCTTTGGCATTCTTTTCACTCACTTCCTGCAATCATAGAAGAGATCAAACATACTCGTATGGAGGTGACAAAGATGTGGTCAGAGAACCTTGTTAGTAGGCCCTACTCTGTAGTTGAGCCATCTAAACATTTGCCAACTCAATATAACAATCTTATGAATGATGAGGAGATAGTAGGTTTTGAGAATGACACAAGAATAATTCAGCATCTGATTCAAGGAAGAAATGAGCTAGATGTCATCCCGATTGTTGGTATGGGGGGACAAGGTAAAACAACCTGTGCTAGAAAGTTGTACAACAGTGACATCATTGTTTCTCATTTTGATGTTCGGGCATGGTGCATCATCACCCAAACATATAACTGGAGAGAGTTATTACAAGAGATTTTTAGCCAAGTTACCGGTTCCAAGGACGAGGGAGATAAGGATGACATCCTTGCTGACATGTTGAGAAAAAGCCTAATGGGAAAGAGATATCTCATTGTATTAGATGATATGTGGGATGGTATGGCATGGGATGACTTAAGGCTTTCTTTTCCCGATGTTGGAAATAGAAGCAGAATAGTAGTAACAACTCGACTTGTGGAAGTTGGTGTGCATGTCATACACCATACTGATCTTTATTTCTTTCCATTCCTCACACCAGAAGAGGCTTGCAGATTATTGCAGAAAAAAGTGTTTCAAAAGGAAGTTTGCCCATCTGAACTAGAAGATGTGAGTCTAGCAGTTGCAAAAAGATGCAAAGGACTGACTCTAGTAGTTGTATTGGTAGCTGGAATAATCAAAAAAAGGAAAATGGAAGAATCTTGGTGGAATGAGATTGAAAATACTCTATTTTCCTATCTTAGTAAGTCTGAAGAATATAGTCTGGAGACTATGCTTTTAAGTTATTATAACTTACCCGATCATTTGAGACCGTGCCTTCTTTACATGGGGATGTTTCTGGAGGATGAAAGAATTCCAGTGTCTCAATTGATAAGTTTATGGATCGCAGAAGGTTTTGTGCAGAACATTCAATCTGGAAGCTTGGAAGATGCAGCTGAAGGTTACTTGATGGATCTCATTAGCAGTAACGTGGTAATGGTTTCAAGGAGAAGATATAACGGTAAAGTCAAATACTGTCAGGTTCATGACGTAGTGCTTCACTTTTGCTTGGAGATGAGCAGTGAAGAAAAGTTTATGTTGGCATTGAAGGGAAATCGTAGCCAGTTTCAACCTTGTGATTGGAAAGAAAGTCGAGTGAGCTTCAGTTTCAATAATGAGCTTTCCATGTTTGCATCTCTAGGCTCCAAAACACGAAAGCGTTTCCAGGAGCACTTGAGGTCACTGATAACGACCAATCTAAGTGAATTTCATGATTGGAATCCCTTCCGTCAGGTTAGTGAAGTGAGACTTCTTAAGGTCTTGGATTTGAGTTCTCATACAGTGGATCATTTTGGGTCAGCTACATTGAAACCACTAATTCACCTAAAGTACCTCTCTGTTCACACAATTACATTCAATTTTCATCGAGAACCGCACCTGCCCCATCTTGAAGCTTTAATTGTGAAGTGTTTCATCAAGCCTACAGTGTTACCAAAGATTTTTTGGAAAATGGAAAAATTAAGGCATGTTGATATTAGTAAAGCTGTTATTGATTTGGAGGGGATCTTTGAAGAATCACCTAAGTTGGAAAACTTGAGGATATTAAGGAATGCTAGATTTCGAATTCGCAATGCTGATAGTGTGGATGTGTTATTATGGGGGTGTCCTAATCTTCAAGAATTTGAGATCTTTTTTAAGGGCGATAACAAAAGATATTTTAGTCCCAATTTGGAGAGTCTTACCCAGCTTCAAATACTTCGCCTTTATGTTAAGTGGCCCCGAATTGTATCCGAGTTACACTTGCCTTCAAATTTAATGAAGATGGTACTAACTGGAAATCCTACAGAAGTCATGATTTCCCTCATTGCGGGACTACCAAGTCTGGAGTATCTCAAATTAAGCAGGAAGTCTCAGATTTGGATGAAATTAGGAGAGTGGTGTCTTAGAGATATCGCGTTCCATAAACTTAAATTCTTAAAACTGGTGTGGTTAAATATATCAAGGTTGGATGTCTCGGAGGAATCCTTTCCCCAGCTCGAAACACTTGTTATAAAAGGAAATGACGAGCTCAAGGAGGTCCCCCTTAGCTTTGCAGATGTTCCAACACTGAAACAGATTAAGTTGATTGACTGCAATGAATCACTGGAGGCTTCAGCTGTGAGAATTAAGGAAGAAGTCCAAGCAATTGAAGGATGTGACCGTCTTCAACTTATTATTATCAAAGTAAGTAGAAACAAACTCCTATGTGTTGTTTTTGAGTATCAACGAGCCTCTAATGTGCAAACAATATGTTCAATACAGGAAAGGTGGCAAAACATCCGGAAGTGACGAAAATCATTTTAGAAATCCCAATTTTCTTCAATTACTTCGCCTTTTTCCTTTCGGAGGTCCATAGTAGTATCCAAGTTACACTTGCCTTCAAATTTGAGAAGCTGGTATTAAAGGGGACTCCTATAGAAAGCATGATTTCCTTCATTGCGGGACTACTAAGCCTGGAGTAAACTCAATTAAGGGAGCGGATTACTCGTGTTCATGTCAGAGTTGATGCCTCAGAGATATCACATTCCATAAACTTATGTATCTCAAGGTGGGATGCCAGGCATCTTTTCCCCTGCTTGAAACACTTTTTATGAAGTCATTCGTTTCAAAGGTATAACATCTGTTTCATTCCACTTCTTATACATTATGTGTGAGTTTTCTATATTATTATTTATTTTTCTTTTGAGAATTTTGAACTACGGCAATGTGTTTTTACAGCTGTTGTGGCATGGGAGCCAGGGAACCTGGTACTGATCGAGGACTTGGAAGATTTCATAATTTCAGTAAAAATATCACGAGCTGGATGGACTTTTTATTTTATGTATTAACACAGGCTTCTTTTCATAAATAATGTCTTTTTGTAAACTTTTCAATCACAAGACACTCACATGTTAATTAAAAATAGTATAAGTATATCTAAAGGACTCCTACTTTAAAAAGAGTTCAAGTTATGGTAAATTTGTATAGTGTTACAGTAAAGAACTTGAAAGTGTTATATACATATGTAATATATTTCGTGGAGTTTGAAGTTATGTAGTATTCCTAAAATCCCAAAATAAAATTATAAGTTTAAAAAAAGAAGTCTGATTCCTAAACCAAATTGGTTTCTTCCTTTTTCTAAACTCTATATTCGGGTTACTACTTCTTGTATAAATAAAACACTCGTCCTCTTTTCATTCTTTATTAGGACACTAATATTTCTTACAATATTTTCTTTTCTCACTCTCAACACACAATATGGTTTTCACGCAGCTGAGTTTAGATGATTTTTCGGGTATGAGATGCACGCGCAACATGAATCCTATAGATTATATGCTTGCTGTATCTGAAGTCTCTTGCTTAAAATCTAAGTATGGTGAAGAAGATAACTTAATCGCCGAGCAAGACAAAGAATTTCGTTATAAGAAAGAAGAAAGGAACGCTCAGAATATACAGTCCATCTTATCATCATACTCACAAGTTCTTGATCGTCGTCAACAAAAACATTCCGTTCTTGATTGCTTCGTCCCAAAGGGGAAACTATCAAAACCAAACAGGCAGCCAAGAAAGTTTACTGAACGATTCGATGGTGAAGTTGAACCGATGATCAAGAAAGCTGTGGAAAATAATTCTGAAGAAGACCAAGAACAGAGAGTAGTAAAGGTTGACGATGAGGAAAAAAACAGAGTAGAACTAATTGGTGTGAGCAATCAAGAATTTTCCGAAAACAGAGTAAACAGAGGATCAGAAGAATGTGAATGTTTATTGGTCGAAAAATCAGGGGTAAAGAAGAGGAAAATTAATCATACAGTTGAAGCCGTCGCGCCACCTGTTGTAATCCTCAACAGAGAATTGAGTATTGAATTCAAGAATCAAATTACGTTCATTGGGGGTTCAGTTGAATCAGCTAAATTGGTTATTGAAAAGATACTATTCGATACGGATGTTAATCCAGCCGAAGGAAGGCTTTCAATCCCACAAAAGCAGATGAGTAATAGGTTTCTAAATACTGGAGAAGAACAACTTTTGAATACGCGCAATGGAGCTAAAATGTCTGAGATGAATGTGTCATTAATTGAGCCTTCGCGTCAAGTAGTTCAAATCAATCTGAGAAAATGGACTATGAATAAAAATAATGGAAAAACAAGTTCAAGTTATGTTTTAGTAAAACACTGGAATGATGTGACAAAAAGGAACGGTTTGAAAAGCGGTATGAAGATGCAATTGTGGGCATTCCGAAAGGATGAAAATTTATGTTTTGCATTGGTTAAAGTTTAAGATTTCAAGTTAAGTTACTTAGTAGTAACATGAATTCTTAGTAGTAGTTGTTGTTGTTGTCTTCATCATTGTCGTAACAGTAGTTGGCGGTATAATATTAACATGTTTCTTTTTGGTGTGAATAATTTAGTCAAGAAAGGAGGGACATACATATGAAATACCTACAGAAGATATCAATCTCAAGGTAAATTAGTCTTCCATCTGTTTATGCATACTTCCCTCAACTAAAAATATTAAGAATTTAATTCTTGATCGGACATCAGTTATAGTTGCAGTAAATTTCTTCAATCAGAATATTTGTAACTTTTATACAAAACTACATTCCATTTTGTTCATAAAACTGATGAATTGTTAGCCATCATGAGAAATATTTCGTGTCACTTTGTGAGCAACCTATTGCGGAAACATAGTTGAGTCTACAAGTTTAGTTTGAATTTTCATAATTAAGTGATACCAAGTAGATCCCTTCTTCCACGAATCAATTCACATAAGTATTTACATCAACCAGATCGTTGTGCTTAATGATGAACTTCAGTTCACACCAGGGCCGGCTCTATGTATACAAAAATAAGGCATTGGCCTTAGGCCCCCAATTTTAGGGGGCCCCAATTTTTTACCAAGAATAAATTATGTGTTAATTTTTTAAAGAAAAACATTAATTATTTATGATAAAAAGTATATATTTAAAATTATTATTTTATTCTCTTCAACCCCATTCAAATAGAAGAAATCAAGAAAATATTGTTTTATTTTCTTACACTATCTCTACTAATACTCACATTATTTTCTTTTTAACTCCTTTTACACTCTCTTCTTTAAATTGTTGATAAGTTAGAGTAATATTCTGTCAAAAATATCAATTAATAGTTGAAAAGTGTTGAACAAATTGAATTGTAAATTCTTTTTCCATTTCTTCTTAGATTTTCAAGCATTACAACAACCATAGTAAAATGTGGGGTAACCAAATTATCAACTTCGTCAAAGCTATGGTTCTAACTCTTATATTTATTTGAAATTTGTCAACTTATTACTCGTAGAACTATGTTAACAATTCATATAATGATTGCCTGAGTAAAATAATATTTTTCAACGTTGAATTAATAAAATCTTATTTAAAACTAATAATTGAAAAAGAAATCGAATAAATAATTTATATATAAAGAAATTATTAGGTAATACTTTGCATTTAAAAATGTAAGAGAAATAAATTTTAAATAAATGCATGTGAAGTTTATTTAGATTTTAGGCCTCTAATTAAGATTTCGCTTTAGGCCTCCGATTACGTTGAGCCGCCCCTGGTTCACACACAAGTTCAGGCCACAAACTATTTGTCTGGCAAAAGTAGAATATTGATCCAATAACCAAGTCAAAAAGTTAAAACTCTTAGCATGATGAATTATTAGAGAATGATTGTATATATTAATGTATTTAGTGTTGTAATTATAGAGATTTGCTGTAATAATCATATAGAATAATATTTTGATAGAATAGCGGATTTGGAGGGATAACATAGCAGATTTAGAAGGATTTGAATGACAGATTTAGAGGGATGAAAAGTTGATCTTTAGGGATATGTAATGTGTATACTCTCTATATAGAGGAAAGACTCTCACTTTGAGAGGCATTCAACAAAATCTTAACAAAAACAAGCTAAAGTACTAATCTACAAAGTGAAATTACATAGCAGGAAAGCCATTGTTTGTGAAAATGGTCCGTGATACATGGTTTGATGACCAATTCTATAGGGTAACGATCCCGGAATATAGAACTTAAAATTATGTGGTACTAAAGACATTTGCTTGATTACTGAGGAGAATGTGATATACACAGTTATTTTCATGTGTTATTCATTAATGTCGGGTATAGCTGCTTCAATAATTCGTATATGACATAACCACCAAGGAGAAAATGAATTTTGATGAAATAGAGTACATCATTAATGTTACTTCAAATAAGCCATATGGTATATCTGATGGATCAAATCCATTTTTGAAGGTAGTAAAACTCCAAGGTTCAACTTAGAAAGAAATGGAGTTTGGATGAGACTATGTGATCCTTTTTTGCATAGTCAAGAACGGGAGATGAAGATGCCAGGTGATTGATTGTTACAAAGAAGTATTTTACAAATCATATCTTAGGGGAAAGCATTTCAGGAAGAATCGCGTGTTTAATATGGATATGAGTGTTGGAGGCTTTCTAGCTCTCTTCTATCTCCTCAAATCACCTACAGAAGGTATCAATCTCAAGGTGAATTGGCCTTCCATAAGTTGAGTTCCATCTGTTTATGCATAGTTCTTATTGTCAATGAGATCCTCAACTAAAGTCTAAAAGTACAGAGAATTTAGTTCTTGATCAGACATCAGATATGTCACTTTTTGTGTAACTTTTATTCAAGACTACATTCCATTCTGTTCAGTTTTGGGATAAATCTGATGAATTGTTAGCCGTCAGGAGAATTATTTTGCGTCACTTTCTGAGCAACCTATCGCGGAAACATAGTTTAATCTAAAGATCCTTCTTTAAGACCTCAGGGAGATTAAGTCCTCTGATAAGCAAACTTCCTTTAGATTCAGTCCTCAAATTGCAACATGTGTGAATATTTTTCTTAACCCTTTTGCTGTAAAAACAGTTCTGAGTTCTGTACATAATATCACTCTCATTCCACTTGGAATGCAGCGGAAAGTCAGTGCATTCCCTCAAATTCTTGAAAACCTCTACTTGAAAAGGACACTAGAAGCAGTCTTTGTCAGGCGCTTGATGTCAAGGTTATATCGCCTGCAAAAGATGCGTCCTGTATACCAACATGTGGTATATTATTCTCATCTAAATTTCTCCTCTACTGGTTCTTTTTCATTAGGTCACCTTGCCATCTGGTCTTTTTGCTATATATTCCAGCAATTTGTTTGGCGATATTCATATCATATATCATTGTAACAATTGTCAGCACAATGTAATTTACAAACTCCGCTTGTTGATATATTTTTGCCTATAATAGCATTAGTAATACTTGAGAATATATTTATTGGTGAGATCCTTGGATCAGTAGTAGCTGGAGATTTGTCAGCAGTAAAATCTACCTTTGAAGTGAAGAAGTTAAAAGTGATTGAGTGCTACTGGAGTTGAATCTGAAGATGGTGAAATCAGTATTGATAAAGAGCTAAAATGAGTAATAGGTTTCTAAATACTGGAGAAGAACTTTTGAATATGCTCAATGGAGCTAAAATGTCTGAGATGAATGTGTCGTTGATTGAGCCTTCATGTCAAGTAGGTCAAATCAATCTGAGAAAATGGACTATGAATAAAAATAATGGAAAAACAAGTTCAAGTTACGTTTTGGTCAAACACTGGAATGATGTGACAAAAAGGAACGGTTTGGAAAGTGGTATGAAGATGCAATTGTGGGCATTCCGAAAGGATGAAAATTTATGTTTTGCATTGGTTAAAGTTTAAGATTTCAAGTTAAGTTACTTAGTAGTAACATGAATTCTTAGTAGCAGTTGGTTGATGTTGTTGTTGTCTTCATCATTGTCGTAATAGTAGTTGGCATTTTAATATTAACATGTTTCTTTTTGGTGTGAATAATTTAGTCAAGAATGGAGGGGCAGACATATGAAATATGATTGACGTTTCATCTAAATTAGTAACAGATGATATGTTGTAAAATTTGGTCCTTCAGAGATCGATATGAGTGCTGGAGACTTCTGAGCTCCTCAAACTAAATGATGAACTGATGTCTTTCACTGTTAAATAGCTTCTTTCATTCAGGATATATTAGTGAGTCCGGCTAGCTGGAAAAATGTTGCAACAATTGATTGTGTGTGATTTGCTTCATATGAAGGGTCGTGAATAGTGATGACATTCCTGTCGGCCTTGGAGATGGATTCACAATGAACTAGTCTGATGTGAAGTAGTTTTCTCTGGTGCAGCACAGAGCAAAAGTATATAATGCCAAACAAAGATGAAGAAATTCTTACTATGTGGCTTACGATACATGTTTCTTCCAAAAGCCTCATGTCTACATGAGACGTCCTCTGGATCTCCGATTATACCATTAGATTTATCACTTTTGAGAGAAGCAACAACACCTTGTACACCTCCAATGTTAGCAAGTTCGTCAACATTTTTATCTTTGACAAGCTTAGCTAGACTTGACTGATCAATGCCCGAGAATAAAGGGTGGTGTTGAACTACATCAATCGTGAGTCGTGACTGTTTCAGTCGATACACAAAGTACTTTTCTTGGATTGTAGGCAGCTCCATGTAGTGCTTTAGTGCTGGTTTTTGTTTTAACAGACATATAATAGTAGCTTTAGCCCTCTCCTAAGTAAACTTTCCTTTGAGTTGTCAATGTTCCTTGTAACAAATTTGCAGAACTGAATATATTTCTTGATCCTTTTTTACTGCAAAGATAGTTCTGAATTCTAGACATAACTAGTGTGTTGGGTTGAATAGTTACATTAATGGTCATGTTGGCCTTGTTTGTTTGTTGGTTGAAGTTTGATGATTGTTTTGGCTTATTGTCTTGATACATAGCTATTCTTAGCTTCTGTATAGAGATCATGACAGTTTTGCCAGCCTATATAGCGTTTACATTTTTCTAGATATCGTGATGGCCTCGACGGCCCAAACAGGATTTATGTGCTAGCCGCCTATTTCTTTATATGAACTATGGGAAGTAATAGTATCCTTTATAGTGTTGTTGACAGGGGTCTTACCAGTCAAGAGCTTCTTTTTTAAGTCGAAATATACTATCCGTCTAGACGGCCTAAGTGTACGTCTTACACCTCATAGTACTACTACACCCAAATTGAACTCACTCCGTAAACACTTTTTAAAATATTTACTTTTATAAAAGGGAATTTTAGGATATAATCCTTCAAAATTTCATAAAGATGATCAATCTTAAATAAATCGAATAAAGTCAATAAGATGAAATAAATAAATAAATAACTATAATAGAGCAAAATAAGAAATATAAATTAGATGCATATCACGAATTC